CCCTCCCCCTCTCTCCCTCTCTCCCTTCCCCTACACACACACACACACACACAGCCTTCAGTGTTTCCCCTGCGCATGGCATCTGGTGTCTTAAAACATAAAAATACTAAAAAGAACAGAACACGGCCTGTACAAAAGCGTGGGGCCTTAATTTCGACAGTAATTAACTATTCATTTGGCCGAGCACGTCGCGAATATAATGTGCCTCTTTTCACCAAGCGCACGCGCGCTCGCGCACACAACAACGCGCGCCCTGGTAACACGTATGCAAAATAATTCCCCCGGACATGTGGCGCGCTGGCGCTGGCGCACACATATGTTGTAACGTGTCGTGTCGTACACAATCCTGTGCCGTAGTCCGGCGAGTGTGTCGCGAGGGGCCCGCCGGCCTGCTGGCCCCGCGGCCGCCCGACTATCCATCATCGCCGCACTGTGCGACCCTATGGCCCGACCTCACCGCCCTTCTCTACAAACCACTTCCTTCCTCCTTTCATTTCCACCCGCCTCGCCACACACCCCGCCCCCTCCTCACTCCCCCCTCTAAAAGTCCAGCGGCTCGCAGTGGTGGCCCTGTGGCTGTCCCCGCCCAACCCCCTGACCCAGCCTATTCAAATAGTTTCCCATTCTCGCCCATGGGACTGGCGCCCTCTCTCTCTCTGTCTGCCGGTGTTCGCTGGACAACGCTCGGACACCCACAGGAGACCCGGGCGAGGGCCGAGCGGCTCGCCACCTCCTCCCCGCCTGCTCTACTCGTGACCCCGATGGAGCCTTCATGAACCTCGCAGCAGCGTGGAGCACGGGCCCGAGCTTCTGCTCGGGTGCGGTGGTGTGCTGTGGCCGGGCGGGGCGGGCGGGGCGGGGAGGCTGGTCTGGAGGGCAGGGTCCCACTTGACCCACACACCCCTGCTGCGGCCACTCGCTGCCTGGTCTGCCCGGCCAACACGTCTGTCGGGGATGGTGTCCGAGATGGTCTCTGCTCCACTCGCGGGGTCATTGCACAACTATGTTTTCTATTCCATTTTGGCGCTCATTCTTGAAGTTAATTTCCCAACACAATATCGCATACACACAACTTGCTCGCGAGTTTAAGCCCGGCCGCCCCCTCCATTCTCTCCCGGTTCCCACTCTTGTGCCTCATGGTCGGTGCGAACAGAGCCCCGGGCCCAATCTTCGTGAGTGGTCCCGCTGCCCATGGGCGTGGCGTGGCGCGCTCATGGCGCCCGGCTGGCATAGGGGCCGGGCGGGCGCGACCAGCACCCCTGCAACTTGTCTGACGAGAAGCCAAGGAAGTTGAACGGGTACATGCTTTGCAGTCCCTGCCCCAGCCGTGCCAGCCCCTGCCTGCGCTGCCCACCTCGTAGCCGCTACGACCGCTCGTCTATAATCTTGCGAATGAAATCTGACTTAGTGCGGCTTCCGTTTAGGTGTAGCGATCACAGTCACTTCATATTTTGTGCGCGCGTCAATTATATTGCTCATTTTCTCAACGCCCTCATTGCGAACTAGTTTGTAACATCATTTATGATTCTACCGTTCCACTTTACGAAGGTGGTGCAATTCATGAAAACGATATTAGATTTATTTCGTATCTCGACAATCTTATTTCAATGTAAAGCTAACCATCGTTTATTCTCTTAGCTCATTGTTTTGACTTGACTTTGGCTGTACTCTGATGTTAGGTGGTGCATGCCCCGCTTTTGAGCCCGGTGGTGGTTGCTCTATTTGAATATGGATTTAATGTTTATTCCATTGTTATTTAGAATCTTTTGAGATCTCTTTAGCAAATAGCCTCTAAAACAAGTCAAAGAGCCAACCACTATTACCTTAAACCAGGCCTGGCACGTAGTAAAGTGGTATTCTTCTTTGTCCCTTAATAGGGGTCACCACAAAGGACTCAATACAAGGTAGTTTCAGTCCAACATAATTTATTACATATATTATACAAAAATGTTCACACAAATTGTATTTGTCAGTCACGAACTGCATAATGGATTCTTGCTATCCAATAAAAACAACACTTAGCATCATATTTACTCGCGGCAAAGTAAATGTTATAATTCTTGAGAGCGACATGATCATTTATTTAAAATTTAACAACCATATCAAGTGTTTATATTTTTTTGGTAAATTCATATCCTCCTAAATTTTAACATAGTTTTATTTTACAATAAAACAGAATGTGCTGCAATTTCTCATACTGTCAGGTCAATTTCAAATAATTTGAAAAAAGACTACGGACGTTTCACTTTTGTGGGAAGAGCCTAGCCTACTTCTTTTACAGACGGATATCAGCCCGATGTTATGTAAATAGTCCGACAACAGTTAGTATTGTTGCACAAAATTTTCATTATTATATGGGGCATGGTAGTCTTTCACACATTCTGCAACACCTGAACAATTACAGGTGTTGAGCAGGCCTCTGAACATTTTTAGGTTTGAAATTATTGAATAACAGATAATATTTTTGTGTGATAACCAAAGCTACACAGTCTTAAAATCAAAACGCATGTTTCAATAGACGTCAGGTGTGCCACAAAACCACTTATGATCCTTACGGAAGTGGAATCCATTTTTTTCTAAATTGAGGACAGTGTCTAAAGACAAATATGTCACGTGTTTGGTCCCAACTATCCTCAGTAATGCTTTAGAATTGTTTTAGAAGCATTGCTGAAAATAAAACATGAGATCTGTACTGGCAATTACGAAAATCATTTAAGTTTACTTACAGTGACACACGTGGATTGATTTTACAAAATGACCGTTACTGTTGCCTTATTGATACATAACCAATGATCGCACATTTGCAAAGCAACCAAAGATCTAGTTTGATGACAACACTGCAGCTAGCAAAACAGTAAACAACTATATATACAACATCATCTTGTAAAGCCCACGAACAGTTTTCTGTTACTCAAATCAAAGTTCAGACAAAGTTATCAAAAGTTCTCTGAAGATCCATACTGTACATAAACTCATAAGGCACTCCTACTCACAAACTCACATTCATACATAAAATGATATGGTTGCTCCAAGGCAACTTATTTATCATGTGTTAATTTGCTTCTATTTATCTTCGTTGGTGACAGTGGCCATTTGTCATTCTACTTTTTTACAAACGTGGTCACTGCCAAGTTTGACATATAGAATTTTTTAAATTGATTTAAAAAAACAATTGTTAGAATCTGTTTTAAAAATAATACATATGTCCCTATTTGGTAGCGTAGTTAATACGCTTGCAGTCTTCATTTCACGTTCGGATGACGTGCTGAGGTAGGCCTTTCTCACGATTTGATGGCAGTGCAGAGTCCTGCAGGTGATGGTCCTCAGAGGCATCCTGCAACAAAACAAAGACATGAAGCTTCATGTGCAGAAGAAATGTATCCATCGCAAGCCTGATCGTTACAAACGGGTTTACCTGGTTGTCCTCCGAGTTTTCTAGAAGGCACTCTTCCTCAGCTGCCTCCGTGTCTCGACTCCGGCCGCGCGGCCGCCCTCGGCTCCTACTCCTTGGCCGCCCTCTGGACCCCCGCGGCCCGCTGTGGTCCGCCGACCCCCTGGGGCTGTTCAGCCGGCAGTGCAGCCCCCCTCTGGTGTCGCTTGCTGGGCTCCGCGCCGAGCGTGACTGCAAACACCAAAACATGATTAATTTTCATTTAGAGCGCGTTCCATTGCGCAAGCAAGGCTTCCAGCCCCAACGCCACGAATAACTTGGAAAAATAAAAGCCATAACCGAGTAAGCAAATATCAGGCAAAAAGGGCCGTCCCACCCGCAGGCGAAGAGGGGTCATGAAAAATGTAATCTGCTGGCAAGTAAGAGTTGCCCTAACTTTCCGACCCGACTTTCACACACCGTTGATAAGTAGAGTTTTTTTTTTGGTAATTTAGTGGTGTTTATCTCTGTTGCCAGTTAGTTCCATCGGCAACGCCATGTAGTCGTTGGCGACTAGCAGGAACTGTTTTAAACCCGTCTGACGGAGAGGGCGCCTGCTGTGGTTTGCCTACTTTCGCGGATTTTGTAGGACAAATTGCCTACGTATCGTGATTTGGGCAGATTTTTTTAGGGCAGGCGCGGATCCAGGGGGGGGCAATTGGGGCAATTGCCCCCCCCAAAGCCTTCGGAAGGACGGAAAAAATAGAGAAGAAAGGGAAAGGAGGGAGAAGGAGAGAAGAGGAGAAGAGAAGAGAGAGGAGGAAACAGGGGGGTAAAGGAAAAGGAGAGGAAAAAAAAGGAGGAAAAAAAAGTTTTTAAAATATAGGTCTTTTTTTGGAATTGGCAGGCAGCAAGGACACATTTAGACGAGTGAAATATTTTGTTCTTTGATTCTGAATTAAAAAATTTCGTTCACTTTTGTACACCACCATATAAACGTAATATATTTTTCTTTGAAAGCTTTTAAATAGGCAGATTCTTTTTTTTCCTCCGTAGGACACAAGACGATTGGTACTCTTCAGATTTTTTTCTGAGTTTGTTTCGTTAGTGGTCATGGTGACTTCTTGTGTGACTTTACTTAGATTTGGTCACAACTTTAAATCGTATTTTTCAGAAATTTTTTCGCTCGCTTCGCTCACGACGACTTCTATAATTTCCCTTTTCACTAAGCTTGTGGTCCCAATTTTAAAACATGGTTTCAATTTTTTTTTCGCTCGCTTCGCTCGCGACTGCTTCTTTTAACTGAATTTGGAGCATCAGAAGCATTTTACAAGTGTCCTTCGTCATTTTGTAAAACAGGTGTTTGCTCTTTCAAAATTGTCAGTTTTTTTTAAAACTTCCCCCTGTAAGTTAGGCAACCAACACGACACATTCTGAAAAATGCCCCCCCTATAACCTTTCGCTGGATCCGCGCCTGTTTTAGGGGGGGGGGGTAGTATCTGGATTATCGGCAGATTAAGCATTCACACAACAGAAACGAACCTGGAGCATGGTAACCAGGATGCCGACGATGAGGACGAGCAGCGCGGCGACGGCCACGGCCAGGGTGGCGGTGGTTGTGGTCAGACTGATGTTGGGCTGATGAGTTCCGGAGCGGCTGCGCGCAAGGGTGTCACCGTCCTGCACGCCAGTCAGCCTCCAGTCGGCGGACGCCGCGGGCAGTTGCGGGCCGCCCAGCAGGCTGCCAGCGGAGCCCACGGCTCCAGCCCCGCGGCCGGATGGCGCAGCCCACGGCACCGCCACTGCCGCTTCGGCGATGCGACGCTTGCCCGCGCTGGATACGTCCGGGCACACGCCTGTGGACACCGGAAAAGAACAAGGTGTTATATCCTACTGTCACGTTGCCTTGTTAGTACCCGGTCCCGGTAGCCGACCTTTGCACTGTGTAAAATGTTATAGGAAAACTCCAGCACCCACGATGTGCTATGTAGTGAGGGGAGAGAGCGTACTTTGCCATCTGTTAGAGACGGTGTGGGGGACTGTCTAAAAAGCGAGAGCGGCAAAGGTGTACCGCAACAGCACGGCGAGTGTGCATCATTGAAGTGCGTAACGAGCGGCTGCTGCACCGCACTTTGCACTGTTAAATTCCTGCGAAGTATTTTGCTCCTTTGTAACTACGAAGCATTTACTTCGCAATTACAAAGTGATGCTTGCCAATTACGAAGTGACATTTTGCAATTGCAAAGCGATGCTTTGCAGCGTTTTCATTGCTTCGCAATTGCAAAGCATCGCTTTGTAATTGCAAAGTAAATGCTTCGTAGTTACAAAGGAACAAAATACTTTGCAGCTCTGCAAAGCGAATGTTTTGCAGAAATTTAACAGTGTGGCGCCTCGTTAACAATTTCACCGAGGGGCAATACCACCCTTTTGGTGTGTACACATGATTCCCGAAATCCTTGATTCCCAGTGATTCTCGTCCGCTTATATTATTCCCTGTGTTTTCTATTGTTAGAAAACGCTTATTTCGCCTAATTTGTACCAGTTCCACTGGTGTTCCGCTTTGTCAAGGCGATTGCTGTTGGTTGGTTGGCCAAAATAAATGTATTTCACTTACTTTCAGAGCTGCAGAACTCATCGTGCCCAGATCTGAGAATTTCCGTTGAGGAGGAATTAAGCCTAGCCGAAACGGTGCCCCCAAACCATACCCACAACCTTGCGAATTCCACATAACATTTCGGTTCCCTCTCACCAGAAATTTTCAGAACTGCGCATGATGCAGCTCTGAAAGTAGAAGAGAAACGCATTCATTTTTGCCAACTGTTTGTTTTTTTTTTTTTTTTTTTTTTTTACGAGGCGCCAAAGGCATGTGGTGTAGCAACCGCTCGTCATGACGAGCGTTCGTTCACGCTCTTCTCTTCGATGCTTCCTCGCCGTGCGCTTGCAGTTGCACCTATGTCGCACACGCTCCACTTCCGCTGCCCTCTCGTTGCGCCCTTCCCGCGGTGCACCCCCTATGCACTCGCCTTGCACTTGATCTGCGCCCGTCGGGCCCTCAACTTTCATCGCGCTTTTGCGCTCGTAGCGCTCTCGATCTATTCTTGAAGGGATAGTTCTTACTTTTGCCACGCACCCTTACCCTGTACATTTCAAAAGATACCACCCAATCATAGCGCTCAGGCTCTAGGGCAAGCCACTCGCACATCACATCCCCCCTCCACTCCTAATATACCGGGAGTGCAGCGTGCGGCGTGCACTATCGAGTTCGGGCACAGTGCGCCGTTGCTAAAAATTAGGTGCGTCATCCCGCTCCTTGCCAGGGCAGGCGCGCCGTCGGGACGGGGTGGGCCGCCGGCTGCTTGAGCCAAACGCAGCCACGGGGCAACTTTCTAATTAGGTTTGCGACGACTGAGCAGCAAGCCAGCAGAGCTCTTCTCTTCCTTAGCTCGGCTTGCAACTTGTGAGAATCGCTTGAGAATAAGTGAGATTTACGGGACACGGGCCCAAGACAAACGGTGGGCGTCGGCAGAAATTTATTCAATCGTTGCTGCCAAGAGGATGTGAAAAGAGGGGAGAGGACGGGGAGGGGAAAGGGGGAGGGGGCAGTGACAAGACTTTTCCAGAACAGGCAGGCGACGGCGGACGCGGAGACGGCAGGCCTGCGGGCGGGGCGGAGGGTGGTCCCCACTGGCTGGGGACATTGTTACGAACAAGCTGAAGCCAGAGAGGGAGGGGCGAGGGAGGGAGGGCCCGCCGCTCCAGCCCAGCCGCTCTAACTACTTCAGACGGCTCGACCTGTTCTTGGTTATAAAAGGAAGTCCGGCACTTCGTACTTCGAGACACCGCCGCCGCCAATCAAACAATTACGGCCAAACTGACGGAAGCAGGTGACTGGGCGGCTGACGGAAGCAGGCGACGGCGGCTTGGCATGGCTTCCACAGCGCCGCGGGCCGCGTGGGTTTAAGTGTAACACGGGGCTCGCCGAGTTCATGTCAAATGGGCGAGAAATGAACAGACCGTCGTCACCCGGAAAGCCTTTCGCCGGAGAGCGGAGAGCGGGTTTGGGGCGCGCTAAGCTGAGCCGGCGCTTAAACAAGGGGCCTAAGCTGCTTTCTTGATGATAAGGGGCTACACGCCGAAGGTTTGAATAGAGATTAGGCAGGCCACTGCAGCAAGGGGCCCCGGGTCCCCGGGTCGTGCTGCTGGTCGCCGCCCTCGCCTGACCGGGCCCCCGTGTGGTTTGACCGGCTGGGCCGGCCGGCCCAGCCGCCGAGCGGACCTCGATGGAGTTGAAGCGGATTAGACTCGCACAGCACCGCCTCCCACCGCGCGGGGCTGTGTGCGCCAGGCATAGCTCCGGTCGCAGCGGCGATAACAGAGAGGGGAAGGACGGAGCGGAGGGAGGAGGCGAAGCACTCGCGCAGGGCTCGCCTGCTTCCTTCGCGCCGCCTTTACGCATTCTGAGGGTGGCGCATTATTTAAATGTCAATAAAAATTAGTATTTTAGCATTTCAAATACTAGCGCCGCCGGGCGATGCGGGGCCGCTGCCACACCAGGTGCCGCGAGACGCGCTAAGCTACACGCGAAAGGGGAGGAACAGACGAGGAGGGGCGAGGGTGAGGCGAGGAGTGGGAGGGGAGGGCGGTTCCTCAAGTTTTCCGCCGCAGCCACCGTGTAGTTGTTTCCTCACTGCGGAAAAGACATTGATGAAAACCACAGAACAGAAGAAAACAGAACGCGCATGCTTTGCAGGCTGCAGCAGCGTCGCCAAGGAGCGCGACCACCCCCGCCAACAAGTCTCGTGTACTTCTTTATTCTCCGATTCCCAATAACAAACTCGGTCGTGGCCGCGTACAAGTCGTGCGTGTGCGGTGGCGTGCACGTGGCACAGCGGCGGATATGCCTAGGGAGTTCGTCAGACTGAATCTGCAATAGAGGACTAGGCGGGAAGCGGTGGGAAAAAAGGGGGGGGGGGACGGGCACGCGGGTCAGAATGAACAAACGCGGCCGGGGCGCGCGTTTTCTGGAAGCACGCCCGGTGCGCTCCTCTCCCCTCCCGCCCGCCTCCGCTGGCCTCACACCTCTGCCCCCCTTCCCTCCCCAATCACCCAATCCCCGCACGCACAATCCATGAATAAATGCATAACGCACACACAGGGCCGCACGCACGCGCGGCAGCAGGAGGCGGAAGAGATAGATAAAGGAGAGGAAGAAAGATGGGATTATGAGCGCGACACAACGACAGCAGAGCGAGCGGCGCTAATGGGGGCACTGCGTGAGGGCGGAGCTCGCGGAGCCACGCAAGAGCCGCCCTTTAAGAAGTGCTTTGTTTGAATAATTAATTTACAGAAATATTGCGAGCAACCGAAGAACAAAATATTTTTAAAACACTGTAAAAAGTTATCGTGGCTTTTCGAAAAAAAAAGTTACGAAATGCTTAGTAAAAAATAATTTAAGAACAGTTTGTAATTGTCAATTTACACTCTAAACGTCAAGGGACAATTGTTGTCCATGGCAAGATGTGCACATCTTGCTAGATGCAATTCTAAAGCAATTTAAGTGACAATACTGTATCTTTAATTGGCCCAAAAAAAATAAAAAAATATTTGTCTATAGGCAGATACAAATTTGTCACTTTCTTGGATTCAATATTGCATCTCGCAGAGTGTGCACACAGATGCATCTTGCAAATGGACAAAAATTGTCCCTTGACATTTAGAGTGTACGAAACATTTCGCAATGTTTCGAATGCTGGTGTCATCAGTCATAAAATTATTTTATACTCTTTAGTTAGTTTCGTTGTTGAAAACGAAGGTTTCGCGATAGAAAATTTAACCGAGAAGTTTTTGTAAAATCACGATAATCTTTTTACGATGATGTTACCCGCAGATAGAGCGAAAGAATACACGCGGATGCGCAAGGGTCAAGGGCAACAAATGTGGTCGGCAGATTCCATGTGCAAGCAAAGGAGAGGGGAAAAGATCAGAAAGGGGCGGATTGGGCGGAAGAGGAACAAAAGATAAACACACTCAGATTGGTGGGCGCATCAGAAAAAGGGGGTGCGATTTATGTGTGGCCCCGTGAACTGTGCGGTGCGGACGGCGGAGGGGGAGGCACCGTGGCCACCGCACTGACCGTGCGCTGCGGGGCCAACATTGCACTGATAGTGGTCGGCCGCGGAAACAAATGGACCGGAGAGAGAGTAAAAGAGGCACACTGCCGTTCTACGCACAGCATAGGGGTGCTAGCTGTATTATTTTACAGCTATTGCAAACTGTGACATTGAAAAAAAAGAAAGTGGGCAGCAGGCGTGCACATGCAGGTGTTCAACACAACTGCGTAGCAGACTTTGTTTGCCTAGAAATGGTAACACTAATGAGTGTTTACAATGAAGCTGATCACTTAGAAGTGTTAAACTGGGGGATTGACCGTGCAACTTTTGACAGTTACACTGTTAAACACTTATAAGTATTCAAATTTTCAGTCTTACTCTTAAACGTACCATGTTGACGTTGAAGTTAAAGAAGACTATCATGTGCGTGTAAGTTGCAAACATTTTACCAGTGTATTCCATGGACTGTATGTATATTCCCAATTTTGGTTTTCAATTTGTTTACTGTTACGATTGCGTTCATTCCCTTTCCCCCGTAAAAAATTTTCAGTATATTGGTTTTTCAAAGCAGTGTGTGCCTGCTAGTTCTTGACATCGTCACGATGTGTTTACTTTCAAGATAACTTTTCGTGTGGGCGGCACAGGCTCGCCTCGGGCTCGCCACAGGCAACGCGTTGATCAAATCACGAGGCGTGGCCACTGGACTCGATGGGGTAAGTTAAGTCAAATCTGCGCGCCAAATTTACTTTGCGACTCTCTTCTCTTTCCCTCTCTTTTTTTTCTTGCTCCTTCCCGAAGCCTTCTAGGGGTACCGACCAACCCCGGTGCCACACGGCACACACTACAGGGGCCATCGTACCCTGCCGTGGCCCCGCTGCCCCCGCCACCCTAGGCCCCCGAGGGACCGCCCGCCCCTTCCCCCTCCCCAGACCGCACCCCGCTATGGCAGTTCCAAGGCGAACCGTTTCGTATGCAGACCGCATAAAGGACGCGGGAATCCGATGGAAAGGCAAAAGGAACTCTGTGGAAAAGTGCTGGGGGGAGGGGGGTGAACCTGAGGAGGAACGGCAGGCAGGGAGCTACTGGAAGGGCGTGGGGAAAGAAAAAAGTGCGGCCGGAGCCGATATGTAAAGAGGAGGTTGTCGCAAACGCAACGCTAAAAGGGCTGCGCGCCGTCGTGCAAATCCGAAGTGGATTCAAGGAGAGGAGGGGCACGTCTGGGGTGGGGAAAAAGGGGAGGGGGAGCGGGGGCTTTTCAGGGCAATTCGAGTGCAGCAGAAGCAAGCTGCATAGACTGACAAGGCCGATGCTACAGGCGGGCACGGAGGAGAGGTAGGGGAACATGACTGGGAGCAGGAAGTCAAATATGGTTGGCAGCCGAGAGGGTCGGAAACTCGAGGCTAATTAAATTCGACATGTCGTAGCGGGGCGGCAGGATCCAGCGCAACGGAGGACGGGACAAAATAAGAGTAAAATAAAAAAAAAATGAAAAAAGTTCGACGGGAGCGACGCGGTGAGGTGGACGAATGTGTGCAATGTGTACCCTACCACACGGGTGGGGATCGGCGCACTGGAGGTGGCGCTGCATTGCTCGTGTAAGGCCCCTCTTCCTTCCCTTCACTCCCCCCCCCCCCTGCTGCCTTTTATATTACGATCTTATATTTTTATTGGTTGTGATTGCTGCATATAAAACCGATGCAATAAACGTTTGCGCCCATCGCTGGCGTTCGGCTGCCGTTCGCAGAGTGCGAGCCTTAAAGCACAAGTGCGGCGCGCGATGCGCATCCCACCGGCTCCCTCGTGACCCGCCTTAAAAGTGACGCGGGAAAATCCCAAGTGCACGTTGCAGCAAAGAGCGAGAGGGCGAGTCCGCGAAAGGAAAGGAAAGGGAGGAGGGATGGAGTTGGGAGAGGGGTGGGCGGTATGCAGCCTCAGGAGAAATCAAGCGCTATGGCCAAAGCCACCGCGCCCACATCCGGGTGGAAATCTTGCATACGGAAGCAATAATAAGAGTCTGAGGCATACCTGGCCAACGCCGTTTGTAATTTTCACGGCGCATAGTATTAAAATGTTTACGGCTTTATGTTCCTCGCCTCGGTCTCGGATGCAAACGGAACAAGCGGAGGGCGTCCCGGAGTTGCAGACGACAAACGGCGGCCGGCGCGGAGGACGCAACGGCTCGCAATAAAGACGGCGGTGACGACAAATTAAAAATAAAAGAAGGGCGGGAGAAGGTGGAAAGAAATGCAGCGAGTGTCCTAGTAGTAGTGGAAAAGTGCTAAAAGTATTCTCCTTGCATAAAATATCACGGCTGGTGCATATACCCTCCTTCACCCCCCTCTTCCCCTGCTCACATTTGCAAGTCCACTGGACCAGCGTGCAGGGCTAAGCAGAGCGTCGGTCTGCAATCTTTACAGAATTCCTCCGTGTGGCATAATACTGCGTCCGGGTCTAGTCTAGATACTTTCCATCCCAGGCAGCGAGTATAAGTAAGGGTCGTTCGCGACTATCGTACACCGGCGCCAGACCGTGAGACTTCTTCACATTTATACCGAAAAGCCCCGCCTCACAAAGAGTCCTATGGAAAAGTCGCCCAAGACCCAAGATACGGCATCTCCAGCATAAATGTAAAATAGAATAATAAAGGTTTATTTTCTGGGCTGCAGATGTTGAGCAGTTCGTATCGCTGTCACAGTTGAGTGCAGTGACACTCGTTTTTGATCGTCTAAAAATTGACGCATAGATGAAATTTAAAAATTTCGGGGCAAACGCTTTTAACCGTGCACTATCATGAGAGAAAGTTTAAAATTTTGGCAGAATAGTACTTTACATTTACTGGTGTTTTCACACCCTGTTTTTCTGTGCAACAGTGGGTTCATGCACTGGCTTATTTTTTTTTTATCGTCGGCTCCTATATACCATTTTCTCGATCGTTGACACGTTGTGTGCCGTTTTAGGGTGGGGGTACTCACCTTGCAGCGCGTCCGTGCGGCAGCGGCAGCAGGTGGTCGGCTGCGCGGCGGGCTGCGGGTCACAGCAGGGCACGCACTGGTGGTGGCGCTTGTGCAGCTGCAGCGGCGCGGCGCACGCCGAGCACGAGTAGGGCCCCGGGCCGGAGCAGGCGGCGCAGCTGGCGTCGCAGGCCGCGCAGCGCCGCAGCGTCGCGTCGTAGTACTGGCCGCGCACGCACTCGGCGCACCGGCCGTCCTGCAGCACGCGCCGCGACCCGCACGACGTGCAGCGCGCCGGGCCCTCGCCTGTGTGCAGACAAAACACGACATTTCAGCAGAGATTCTTCCAAAACGTTCAGCACATAAACAGAGTCAGAGAGGGAGGCATACGCTCTGCTCGCGATAAAATCAATATCCGACTTTTCGATGAATAGGGAAAAGGTTTGAAGAATTTTCATATTTTGATCGAAAGTGCTCAGATTTATGAGGAAGTCCTCGAAAATATGAAAGAGTTTGCCTCATCTTTTAGTGAAATATCCTCAAGATCTGAGAACTTATCCCCAAATAATAGATAAATGGATGTTGTGTCTCGAAGGTTTTCCCTATTTCCCCAAAATATCAGATATCGCTTTTTACAAAATACTAAATATACACCTCTACGAAATCAATAACAAACAAAAAACGAAGCGCTTCTGACCGTCGCAAGTGAAGTTTTTTCTCGGATTTATTAGATTTAGTTGGAAGCTCGGCGCCCGCAAAACTCGGCGTACGCCATCCCCTAGTACACGCATGCATGAAGGCCGTTGCCTGCGTATGAGGCGCCACGAGAGCCGAACTTGGCAGTTTCGTGAAGGCGAACAGGACGTGGTCGTCGAGTGGCTGATTTCCAAGAACGGGGCCAGAGACGACCTGACTGCTACTCGGTATCTATCCAAGCGCGCAAGCGAGCGCTCGCGTCGGCTTCTTGGAAGCGAGAGCGTATGATGAGGGTGGGGCTGGCGCGCGCATGTGTTTGTGTCTGATGTGGTTGTGGCGGGGCGGGCTTGAGATTGTGTCCGGGGCCGCCGGGGTGTTTGCTGACCCCTCAGTTAGGGAGCGCAAACGTTCTAGACCGGCCGGCAAGCCGAGGCCAGCAGGGCCACCACCGCCTCGGCCACCGCACTGCGCTCAGCACCGTTTTATTGGCTTAGTGAAGAGTAATAACACGGTCGTGGTGTGTGTGAGAGAGAATTCCCCCACCACACCCTTTCACCATCCCTCCCCCTCTCTTCCAAGCCGTACTCTTGAGTGCCGCAAATTTACTCAACAAACGGCACACGCTCTCTCGAGATGTGCTCGGCCCCGCCGCCAGGAGGCGCCCACACTGCCACCACGCCCCGCCACTACCCGGAAGGGAACCGCAACTGCAAATTATTTCAGCGTGGTGGGTGCGGCGGCGCCTGCCGGGCGCCCTGGCTGGTCGGCGACCTGATGCTTTTCGTCGCCTCCCTCCCTCCCTCCCTCACTCCCGCGTATGGATTTCTCATCAATACCCATCGCTCGGGGGAGATAATCAGCAATCATCGCCCCGCGAGCCAGTCAGGCGACACGCTAGCCGCCGTGCGGAAGCATTACACACCCGGCTGGCGTTACCCGACCCCCCCCCCCCCTCCTGGAACCCCTAGCCCAGCGCCACCGAGACCCGGGGACGCCGGGGTCACCCGACTGCGTAGCGAAAGCTGTAACAAGGCCTAACTTATTGGGCCGGGCTAAATGAGGACATGGGGATCGAGGGATCCCTCCCCGGAGGGCTGTTCGGAGCCCCGCCACGCCCCGCCACGCCCCGCCACGCCGCGCCCAGGCGGCGCCGGTGTGTCACGGGTGTTGCACGGGGTTGTGGCGGGGCGTGGCGGGGCGTGGCGGGGCGTGGCGCGAGGCGGAAGAGGACAGCCCCGAGGGGGGAAGGGTCTTACCTCACCAGACCCGCAACACCACCGCCAGGGGCGCACCGTCGCGACGCCAAATCAACACGCCGCGCCGACCCGAGACAGCAGGGCCAGGCCCAGGCCAGGGCCTCCAGGAAGGTCTTCCTGCTTCCCCTGCTCAGCGCTTGGCCCGACGATCGCAGCGAAAGGGCTGCTAAGGGATCGCCCAATCTCAAATTCCTTCGGCAAAGTACGCGAGCTCCGCGCCTCCAGGATTCGGGGCAGGCAAACCCGCTGTACTCGCATGTACTACGGGCAAGATGCTGCCTCTATTCGGCTCTACCTCATTCCACAAGTCACAAAAATTGTTGGCATTTAACAGGCGACTCATAGTAGACCTCAAAACAACAAAAAGCTTTATTTACTTTCTTTTGAAATTTCGTCTAGATCCTCCCCCCGCCCTTTTCTGTTCCCCTAGGGCAGTTGCAGCCAGCAAACCCCCAAAAAGGGGAGTTATTTCTCACAGCCCAAGGCTTCTGACTTCCCGACGCGATCAAGCTCGTGAACATTCAGCAAAATGAAGTTGAAACGATTTGAACAGCTCTCTTCTTAAACCACCGTATTCTTTTACCTCTACGAAATTGATTTGTTTCTGAACATTTTAGACAAAATAATTAACATGATGGCCAAATCGAGAAAAATTATAGTTCTTATTAAGTAACATTGAATTTTGTCAATAAGGTTTTTTTCCTCTCTTGTTCCAAGTCATTTTAGACAAACGAATTCCAGTGTCCTTTTTTCCAGGGTGGATGGTTCATAGGAGAGGCGGAAAACAGAGCTAAGCCAATTCAGCAGCGAGGGGTGGCGGGTGTGGCGGGACCACCACTCCAGTATACTTGCACTGCTGCCCCCCCCCAACTTCCTTGGCCTGTCGCTTCGCATTCTCGCTCCTGCAATTATTATATGCTTTTTGCTTCCGCAGATCCTTGGGCTCCACACCCCTTCAGCAAAAAGCCGTAATAAATGAACAGAGCGGCGGGGCGGGACGCAGCGCGGCGTATGAACTAGGCTGCGGCGCGCCGGGCCCGGCCAGGCCAGACCCTCCCCCACCAATGTCCATTGCCTTAATTGCGTATTGCTCGCGTCGGGGAAGTGGGGGAGGAAAAAAAGGGCACAGCGCCGCTGTAATGTGCGTAATGGATAGAGCGTGTTCAAACAATAATACTACAGTCTTTTTTGTATAGTTTGTTGGCAAATGAGCGCACACGTACGACGCGATGAGCATAAGGAAATGTCGCAGCGCTCGTTACAGGACGAGAGTAGTTGTTTCTCACCCTTTATTTTGTTTCTTTTTGTTTCAGTTGGCGTTCGTTAACCTCGCGAAGACGCAGCGATATCGCCCACCACCCCGCCGGCTCCCGCTGCGCGCCGCGCAGCACCCACTTGTGGAAAAGACAAATACTGCCGATGACGCGGCCCAGTGGTCCGTGAGACCGATAAAGAAAGTGCGGCAAATCGCCACTTTGGAAATGAGCTCAATTTACCGGAGCGCGCGATCTACAAACCGGCGGCTTCGGCTCTGGGGGCTCTCCGCAACGTCAAGCAGAGAAAAAAAACAAAAACTTTTCGCCGTCCCCCGCCGACCGTGCTTCCTCTCCCCTCAGAGACCCACCCCAACCAGGTCGGCAACGTCATGGTAATGAGAGAGAGAGAGAGAGAGAGAGAGAGAGAGAAATGCAAACCTTGCCTCGACACTCCACCACTCGCTCAGAGGCCCTGAGGAGGACATCTTAGGGCGAAGGAGGGGCCGGGCGCCTTGAGAAATGAAGCATTCAAATGTACCGGCAAATCGGGCCATTCTACGTGAGAGTCTCTTCGCGGCGGGAGGTCCAGGGGGCCCCTCACGGTCCCCAAGGTCCCCGAGGAGGGCAAGACAAAGCGCAAAGTGCGGCTGAGGCTGCAGAACGAACCTGGCTGCTGGGCGGGGCGGGAGGGGCCGGCCGCAGCGCGCCAAAGCCGACTCATCGGGACAATTTTCACTCGGCGCATAAAATGAAGAGGGTGGCTTCGTTTCACGAGAGATAGAGAGAGGGAGAGACGGGGCGCAGAGGAATAGGGAATGCTTGAGAGAGAGAAAGAGAGAGAAAGAGACGGAGTGAGCAAGGAAATAAGAGAACTGCAAAATGGCCCCGTGTTCGTATCGACGGTTTCACACCCACCCCTCTCGAGAGTCTGGCCTCCGCCTTAACCTCCCCATTACGAAAGGCGAACAACCCCATTCTCCTTTCATCGGATCGGAGCAACCCCCCTTACACACACACCCGCCCGGGCCGTAGCTACAATGTTAAATCAGGGCCCAACATCACATCCACGTACTTCCAAGGCCGTGTTTACCCGTCGGATGTTTACGGAGAGGATAAGGTGTTAGCCACGGCCAATGAGCCCCCTGCCGTTGAAGCCTCGCCCTCTCCTACAAGCAGACGGCTCTTCATAAAATGTAACCCTGATTGACTTTATTCAAGGAAAATGTTTGAAAACGTTGGTCGCTCGCCGTATCCAGTGCTGGTGTGGTGTCCGACGGCCGTTATCAGTTTTTATAAGAGCGACAAAGGCAATATGAAGACCCTCCTCTCACTCTTCGTTTCTCTTTCTCGGCCCACTATACTCCCTTGCCGTCCCGCGCCTGTCGTTCTCCAGCGCGCTGCCATCCGTGAAAAGCGGAATGGGCTTTTCCAGGAGTATGTTTAGCCAGCATTTGCTCACGCTAGGCTTTCTCTCGCTCTCTTTCCCCACGTCCCGCTCCTATCGCTCCTTACAGTGCCTTCTTGTCTCCCTCAAGCACACGCCCAAGGCTGTCTCAAACAAACACACAGACACATCCAAAAAGAGGCCTCCAAACTGGCTCAACAAGGACCCAAGTGATTAGTCTCAAGAAAACAATTATTGCCACGTGGCTTAGAACTGCTCCATTGGATGATCCAGCAGATAGGGGCATGCTAATGCGCAAAGTGAACAAACGCACAGGTATTTTCTCTTTTTTGAAAAAAAAAATCAATAACGATTTGTTTTTACTATAAGGAAGCAGCTAAGGCTTAACAAGGCTTAACGAATGGGCCACTGCACGTGCACTGTAGTCTAACTAACTACATGGCCATAAGCAGCAGCGGCGGGCCGTTGATCTACAGCTGAATCGGGGCACCGTGGATGACCTTGAGAAACTACTCCAGCATCACAGTGACTCGAATCACCCGGCGGCTGGCGCTGAGGCTGGCGCTGAGGCTGGCGCTGCCCTCCAGCCCCGCGCCCCGCTCCTCCCCGTCCCGCTCCAGCCCAGCGACACAAAGCAGCCATTAAGCAGCCGGCGCTCCCATAACGGCCTCCGCACATGCGCCCCGAGCCGCG